GTTCTTGAACTTTTCTAGTCATTACCGTTTTTTTTTAAATAAGTTTGCGGGTGAGATTTATCTGAAATTTTCATGCGGAATATCCCAACAAAATGTCGTAATCATTTATCCTTCAAGCATTCAAATGCAAATTTGCTTTGCTATCGATCTCATAGACGTCTGCTTAAATGATTATCTCCCGATTCGTTTTCTGGGTGATTCCATTGGTAGTTTGAGAAATTACACTTGATATCTCTGGCATAATTACGGTTTTACGTCCTAGATTAAGCTGGTGTGGGACTGGCGCCATGATTTTGATCAAGCCCGTGGAATCTCCAGCGTAAAGTCGATTTCCTTGGATGTGTGTTCTACCTGCAATATCCTGATTTTCTCCCTGTGTGATTTCACTGATAGTATGGGAGAATACATTCGATAGCTTCGGCCTGAATTTCATGGCTCCATTTTCCATATTCAGTCGAACATGTGAAAGTGGGCCCGCAACCTTGATCACATTCACAGACTCTTTACCAACTCCATCCAAGCTCGTTCTACTTGCCAAGTCTTCACTTTGGGTGATTTCATTGGTAGTTTGTGAGATTACATTTGATATCTTTGGCATAATCACGGTTTTACGCTCTACAAGCTGCTGTGGAAATGGCGGCACGATTTTGATCAGATTTGTAGATTCTCCAGCGTAGAGATCTGGTCGAATTCCTTGCATGTGAGTTCTACCTGCAATATCCTGATTTTCATCTCGGGTTATTTCACTGGTAGTATGGGAGAAAACATTTGATATCTTTGGCTTAAGGTTTATGATTTCATGTTCCATATTCAATTGGTTTGAAAATGGGGCCGCAACCTTAATTACATTCACCGACCCTTCAGGATTGATTCCACCAACGCTCGTTCCACTTGCAATATCTTCATTTACCTTTTGGGTGATACCATTGATAGTTTGGGAGAACACACTTGCTGTTTTCGGCTTAATTTCCATGGTTTCATGTTTTATATCAAGCTGGATCTTTGGAGGTGGCGCCACTACTT